TGGTACTGCAAAACTCATATTAGTTGTAGACTATAAAAAACTTAATGAAAACACCATTCCGGACAGATATCTCAAGCAAGATACCTTGGAAAAGCTTAATAATTTTCCACGGTCGACCTGGAGTGTGGGTTTCACCAGATCCTCATGAAAAGTCCGACGAAAATGAAAGTTTGGAATTTAAAAATTCTGAGAACGGCATCGTTGAATTATCCGACAATTAAAAAATAAACAACATAAAAATATCATCTGCAGATCAAAGGAAAGATCTGGCTAACGAAATATTGAATATTATCAATGACGAGCATTCAAAAATAAATATGCAGATTCCTTTTAGGACACATATACGCAGTGAAATAAACACCGTAAATGATAGGGCCATTTACAGCAAACAATACCCTTAAAATTATCCTGTTTTAGTGGTACCAAAAAAAGTTTGAAGATAGTACTGCAAAACTCAGATTAGTTATAGACTATAAAAAACTTAATGAAAACACCATTCCAGACAGATATCCCATGCAAGATCCTCGGTGATTTTGTCAAACCTTGGAAAAGCTAAATACTTTTTCACGATCTGGAGTCTGGGTTTCACTAGATCTTCATGAAAAATCCGACGAAAATAAAAAGCCTGGAATTTAAAAATTCTGAGCACGGCATCGTTGAATTATCAGACAAATAAAAAATAAACAACATAAAAATATCATCTGTAGATAAAAGAAAAGATCTGGCGAACGAAATATTGAATATTATCAATGACGAGCATTCAAAAATAAATATGCAGATTCCTGTTAGGACAGATATACGCGGTGAAATAAACACCGTAAATGATAGGGACATTTACAGCAAACAATACCCTTATGCTCCATCAGTTTCTGATTTTGTAAATTCAGAAATAAGCCGAATGCTAAAAGAAGAAATTATAAGGTCAAGTAGAAGTCTTTATAATTCCCCTGTACTAGTGCTACCAAAAAAGGGTTTCAATGAAAATAAAACTCGAAAGCTCAGACTCGTTATCTCTATATATAAAGCTATCAGTAAGAAAACTGGGAATCAACGCACAGCCAAAACCACTGGCTAACAATATTAATATGCATTTTTATTACATTCTAATAACCTTAAACTGATTTCCTAAGATTTATTGGCGCTCTCCAAGTCGCCCATTCCATTTTCGCCAGGTCCATTTTCTTTTCAAAAATTCTGGACGCTAAATCGTTAAACCAATCGAATCCGTGTTTTCGCCCAAAAACAGTTTAAAGTCTTAAAATGTTTAAAAAATTCTACCGTTTAGATTTCAGGCTTTTTACTATTTTTAACACCCGTTCTAAAATTTCAATTTAGCCAAAAATAACGTCGAAAAATGGCACTTCTAAACTGAGTATCAAAAATTCCTTCGGTAAAGTTTTTCCTTAAGCTTTAACGATTCATTTGATGGTTTCACCAAAGCTCTAGCTATCTTCTAAACAAAGAAACTAAGCAAAAAGTCGATCTTTTATCGAATTTAAGTGTATTCATAAGCATCATACGTTTTCTGCCTGCATATTGCTATCTCTCTCTGCATTTTCATACAAATTGTCAACAAATGATTTCGTCTCCCTCCATACTCGCATACTCGTTTGTCGATCTGAGTACTAGGCTTTAGCGTACAGGATTTCATTTTCTAATTGAATGAGTTTGGGGCCCTTTGGTGTGGGTGGGTCACCAATAACTATAAACTAAAGTCTACAGAAATTAAAACTGTATTAAAGCTCATTTTATATTTTTAAGGAAGCGCAGGGAAATGCAAGGCAGGGGGAGAGTCTAAAAAATATTACGGCTATTTTTAATACCCGATTAAAAAGTAGCCGTCTTATTCAGCATACGCTTGTATATATACATCTCCATCTCTTTTCCACCCCTGACTCTGCTTTATGATTGTCATTTTTTTCTTCGAAATACCATTACAAAATATAATTAAAGTTGGTATAACTATATTTTCGCCAACCCAATACCAAATAGTAATTTCTTGAATATGTTCAAAAACAAATACACTCAAAAGAATGAAATATACATATTCAAAAGCCCACACAGAAATACACACACGTATTCGATCAACTAAGGGAATTCATTCATCTATGTATATATATAAAACTATCACTAAGAATACGAACCAATGCACAGCCAAATCCACTGGTTAACAATATTAATATTCATTTTTATTACATTCTAATAACTTTAAACTGATTTGCTAAGATTTATTGGGGCTCCCCAAGTGGCCCCAATCGCTTCCAATTGGAAAAAAGTTCCATTTTCTTTTCAAAAATTCTGGACGCTAAACCGTTTAACCAATCGAATCCGTGTTTTCGCCAAAAAAAGAAGCTTAAGACATTATAAATGTTTAACAAATTTAACCGCTTAGATTTAAGGCTTTTTACTATTTTTAACACACGTTTTAAAATTAAGCAAAAAGTCGATCTATTATCGAATTTAAGTGCGATGTTCGTGAACGCTTGCAGCTTTAATCATCTCTAATATATATGCGCATAATGCCATCTCTATTCTATTCTATATATTTAATCTATGTACAAGAAAACATGCATACAATATCTTTTCGGTTTCTGGCAAACGCCGCTAAGACGACGTCATATTGCGAAATTCAATTCAGTGTCAAATAGGCTTCGCAACTGGCAAGAATAAAATTAATACAGTCCACATATACGCAACTCAACTCTTTCTTATTTCTGACCATATTGTTGGTCCTTCGAGCCGGATTCTTGGACAGTTAGTGAAGTGCTTTGATTCTCAGGTTAATTGTTTGCTATGGAACAATTAAAAGCATTGGTGAAAAGCCGTTCCAGACTCAAGGGCAACATCACACGTTGTCTTTCATGGGCTGAGCAAGCCCATGTGTCGGCAACACAAGCGGAGATCTCCACGCGCATACAACTTCTCCACAAAGTTTGGAAGGAGTTCAACCAGTTCGGCGATTGCATTGCTCTCCACGAGGATGTAGAAGGTTACGTCGATCCGGAGATGGATAACGCAATTTACGAAGAAAAGTACCTAGGGCGAACGCATTTCTCAAGGACAGAATGCTCTACAACCAAGTACATCTACAGGCATTGTGAATGGCAGCAACGGTCTGCACTCCAACGGCGACGCAATTGTAAATTTGCTACAACAAAACCAACAACTATTTGAGCGACTGGCTGCAAATCAGGCTCATTCGAGCACGCCGGTTCATGTTGGTGGTGACGTCTCTTTGGCGAATTCAAGTTCGGTACATGCGGCGAATTCCAATCTGAGTGAATTGCCGAAAATTCAAATCAAATGGTTCACTGGCAACTACACAGAGTGGCCCTCTTTTCAAGACATTTATGAAAGCACAATTCATAACAAGCAACATTTGTCCAACACCCAGAAGTTCCATCACTTGAAAACACTTATTGTTGATGAGGCTGCCAACTTGGTACGACACTTGGCCATTACAGCTTACAACACCGCTTGGGAACGTCTGAAGGAAAGGTGCAATCGCCAACGGCACATTGTAAACTCATTTTTGGAGCAGTTTATGAGCCTACCAACAACTAGAAAAGTAAGTTGCATCAATTCTACGGAAGGTGTCAGACGGAGCAAACGAAATTATTCGCGGATTGGATGCAGTCAACCAGATGGGACGCGATTGCTGGATCATCTATCTGGCCCTGGAGAAACTGGACGCCGACACGCGGCGTAGGTGGATTGAGCGCAGCATGGACACAGATTAACCCACTCTCGAGGAATTCTTCAAATTTCTGGATTCTCGTTGCGAGGAACTGGAACTGAGTAAAAGGGAGCTTGGGACTTGTAGTAAGACAACAACACATGCAGAAAAACCAAAAAGGGTCACACAATCGATGGTTGCGGTCGAAGGCAGTGGCTGCACCAAATGTAATTCAACAGAACACACTCTGTATAACCGTCAGCTGTTCTTGGATATGTCTGGGATGCAGAGGCGATCCTTCGTAAAGGAGAAATCACTGTGCTACAACTGCTTGCGACCTGGTCATGGAGTCAGCAAGTGCAAGTCGACATACAAATGTAGGCAATGCACAAGAAATCATCACTCCCTTCTACATGTCCAAGCGAATCCACAGGCTATTGGGAATCTTGCTTAGATAGCAGGCGAGGACGAGTGAAACATAGGTGCGTCCAACAACACTTCGGTGACTCTCAGTCATTTCGCCCAAGGAGAGGGCACTCAATTAGTTGTATGTGCACAGGGCACTGCAAAATCTGCACAGGAAACGGAAGTTAAGCGAAGCATATTACCAACTGCCATTTCGTACGTATCCGAGCGTTGCATTCAAGCTCTGGGATTGACAAGTTCGTCATCACGCATCTTGGTTACGGGAATCTCTTCGGTGAAAGCAGATACGACAAGGAGATGCAGCACCTTGCATATCAAGACCCGTATCTCCGAGGATCATTTGGTTGTCTACGCCCACGTGCTAGGCAGAATTACTTCTTCGCTGGAACGCCAAAACATCGATGCATCGGCACTCGAGGCATTCAATTATCTGCAGTTGGCGGATACTGAATTCAACACAAACTCACCTGTTGACATTCTATTGGGAAGCGAACACGTATGGTCGGTGCTTACAGGACGAAAGATGTACGACAACAAGGGTAATCTTATCGCCATTTCTTCGGTGTTCGAATGGGTAATAACCTCACTCATCACATCAAATCCAAGCAACGCTATTGCACTGACTACAATAGTAGACATAGGCGCTACTCTTCAGAAGTTTTGGGAATTGGAAAACGTTCAAAGCAGAGCAAAACTGGATCCGGAGGATGATCAGGTCGAGAAGCACTTTCTCGCCACTCACAGTCGCGATGAAAACGGGAAGTATATCGTGGATCTTCTATTCAACACAGAAAACCCCGATTTCGGAGAAACTCTACAAGGAGCGCTCAAACGCTTTAAATCGGTTGAGCGGCGGCTGCAACGGAACGACCAGCTGCGTACATAGTGCGTATACTTTATGCGGGAATACACAAATCTGGGGCACATGCGAGAGGTGCCACCTGAGGAAAACGGTACTGGAAATCAATTTTATCTACCACACCACCCAGTTCTGGGTCGGAAGCTACGAGTAGTTTTCGATGGATCTTCTCGTGATGCCAATGGTAAGGCTTTAAATGACTCCCTGTTTACAGGTCCCAGTATCCAGCGCGATCTATTTGCTGTGTGCCTTCGTTTTCGAATGTACAAATTTGCATTCTCAGCGGATATCGTAAAAATGTTCCGCCAGATAAGGGTCAACGAAAAGCACAGAAACTCCCAGAAAATCGCTTGGAGAGAATGGATGGATCTTCATCCATCCGATCTTATCAAGCATTTCCAATTGTGCACAGTAACCTACGAAACTTCATGCGCACCATTCCTGTCTGAGCGAGTGCTGGAACAACTTGCTGTCGATTATCAAGAGGAAAACCCAAATGCGTCGAAAATCCTGCTGGAGGATTTCTATGTAGATGACGTTCTTACTGGGTCAAACAGTGAGGATGAGCTACTACGGAACCGAAACGAGCTGATTCAGCTGATGTCTCGTGCAAACCTTGAACTCGGGAAATGGGTATCCAATACACCATATATACAAACGGATGATAGCGACACACAACCTGCACAAACGTCACCAGTAAAGGTTCTCGGACTTTACTGGCATCCTGGAAAAGGCATTCTAACGTACAATGTCGGTCTAGCTGAAAATCCTGATTACAAAAAGAGGCAAGTCTTCTCTTCAGTAGCCTTCCACCTTGCCATATCGATGGTATGCCTCGTCCTTATCCAGACACGGCGAAGTGCATGACCATTTCTGGCCAAGGCAGCAATTTCTGGCTTTGAATAATCCCAAGATGGAGGAGGAATAGGTATACTTCTAGGAGGAGGGGCAGCTTGATGGATCTGTTCAACTAAGACCTCAGCAAAGGAATCTACGTCGTCCACAGAAAGAATTGAAAGTTGCTCCTGAGTCAGAGCAGTAAGTTGCGCACTGAATCTTTTAAGATCCGAGCCCCGGGGAAGATGCCTGGATTTGGTAACGATCGTATAGGCAGCCACGCAAAAATATATCAGGAGCGGAATATGATCAGAGGAAAGTCCCGGGCACTCTGAGATTTTAAGGTGGTTGATCCTGTGCCTTTGTACACAGCAAAATCAATGGCCGTCGGGAGGCGGTCATTGATCCAAGGAAAATGAGTGGGTCCGCCAGTAGCCAAAATCTGCATATTTGAGTCAGCAATAACTGACATCAGGGTGTTTCCCCGAGGGCATGATCGCCTGCACCCCCAGAAACTGTGGTGCGCATTCCAATCCCCTCCAGTCGTCCAAGAAAGGCGGTGACCAGGTGGACGGTGCTGTCTAAGCACCAAATGAAATTCTGCCAAACCCGGTGACCAAACTTATGGCAACTGCTTGCAGGTGAGGCTCCGATATTGTGGCACTTATGTGATAATCTAAACAGGATTTGATGATGACAGCAGCACCACCACGATGTCGATCATCAGGGTGGTTGACAGAGTGAACAGCGTATAAATGTGTCTCTGAGATCAATAAAATGTCAATGTTGCGTTCCTGGAGGAGGTGCTCAATCTCGAGTGATTTGCCATCTAAGTTGCTGGCGTTCCAAATAACGATATTTATACCGTAATTAGTCATCGCATTGCGTTGACCCTGATAGATTGGCGTGCTTAGAAATCACGCTCTGTAACATTTGTAGTGTGGTCGTCATTACTGACATCATTTGATCAAAGCGTATCAACAACATATCAATTGCAGCCGCTTGGGCTATCGCAGCAGCCTCTTGTTGCTTCCTTAATCCATTAATAAATTCCAGAAGCCTGTCCTGAGTAGGTTGTTCAACCAAGGAGGTCTTTTCATTTGGATGTGAATTAGCCGTTGGCGAAGTCTGACTTGGGGATGCAGAGAGACGCGTAGAAAACCAAGCATTTTGAGCCGGGGGCTTGGCAGGCTTAAAAGTACGTTTTTGAGTGGGTCTACGCTCTACAGAACCAGTGGGCTTACGTCTTTCAATAGCCTCTAAGTAGGCAGGACATCGACGGGAAGACGCACTATGATTAGAACCACAGTTAATGCACTTGAGTTGTTCCTCATTTATGGCCAAGCACCTCTCCTTGTCTTTTGTTTCATGGTCACCAGCACATCTGGCACACTTTGGCAAGAGAGAGCAAAAATTTTTAGAATGTCCAAATTCTTGACATCTGAAACACCGTAAAGGACCCTTTCTCTGAAGCTGCGGTTTCACTTTAACCACCTGGTAGTCAATTATCTGGATATCATATACATTTTTGTTATTTTTAGCTGGTTCCAGCTCCACAAAGAATATATCCCGGTTCGCCTTCCCATTTTCACCAGGGGGGTTGAATACATTCCGAGGGTTGTGTCCCAAAGCTTTAAGTTTTGCAATTTCGGCTATTTCAGTGGAAGCGTGAAGTCCCTTGATGACGACTCGAAAGGCTGGTTCATTTTTAAACTGAAAAGTGCTGACAGGAATTCCATTATCCTTGAAAAGCTTCTGGACTACACGGTAAACATTGCCGTCATCTACAGTAATCCTACAGGAAGATTTACCAGTTGTCTTGAGGCGAAAACCATTGGTCACAGAAGATAGTAAGGAAATTAGTTGCCTAAAATCAGTGATTCCCTTTAAAAGAAAGGGTGGCGGACGGGGATCACGTTTCTTGGTTTTAGCTTGAGAAGATGCATTGCGTGTGAACACCGAATGCAAGCTAGCTTCAACAGGCTCAGACAATCCATGACCAAGTTTAGAGGTGCTCGTCAGACAAAATAGCAAAGCTATTGTTCTTTCCTAAGTAGGTAGAGTCTTCTCGACTTGAAGAATGTGATTGTATGGTCGTGCCAGAAGCTGCAGCTTGAGGACGTTTATGGACGCCAACAGGGTAGCGATGATTTATTTATATTACTACCTCCGAGTATGTCAAGATTACGTCTTTTCCTTATGTTATTTACCTGAGTAAAGCGTTCTTCATCGGCAACATTCTTACTAATCCACTACAAATGGTCAGAGTCGGGACAGGTGAGGTGTCTGAATAATTGGAATCATCAAATTCATCAGAAGTATCAGAGAGGCACCTATAGGCATCAAATGCAGTCGCCTTGGCATTCCTAGAGGCATTCATAACAGCTACTTTAGCAGCTTCATCTGTATTGACTGGTGGTCGCGTAACTTGGTCCTTAGCAAAGACCGAGTGCTTAGCCACATGAGAGTCATGATTGATTTCACGACAACCTTTCGTCGAGATGGCTTGAAATTGGAAGACATCTTTTTTGGGAACTGTACCAGCATCTGACATTGTACTTGCGTAATGAACTAAGAAAATAATAAAAAATAAAGTTTACCGCAGCAGTCGGCCTGCCAACCGAAGGCAAGGCCGGCAAATGTTTTGTTAAGAAAGTCAAAAAAAAAATCGTAGAGACACAGAAAAACAGAATTTTGTATAAAACTTTTTTTTTTTTTTTTTAATACGGGAGCTCTGAGATAAACACAACCGGTTAGCCTGACACATAAGTCGAGACTGAAACTTTTGTCAGGGTGTAATAAAGTTGCATCTGCTTTCAGAGAAGATATTAACTTTTTATTTCTAAACTAGCCCACAGTGTGAAGGAAATCGGCGGTTGTTTCTTGGCTGGACAACTTATGTGTCCAATTACTGCCCGAAAAGAGGTTAATGTTTATTAAATAGAAATGACCTTCGTTTAGAACACACTACAATGATTTGATAGACGGAACAATTTTGTTATGTCCAATTGAATTCAGTTGTTTAGCTCAGAGGGACTATAAATATTGATGGGGCCATCGCCAAGTTGTGGAAAAAGGTCCCATCCGTGATAGATTGATCACTTTTTTAGTTTGGTGAAGTTCATAAAGGGAGTAACATAGTCAATTTTAATGGGTAAGCTGTTAAGATGCATAAATATGGATGAGTTTTAAAAAAAAATTTCTCGTAGAGGACAAGCCAGACACATACACTATCAGAATAATTTTGGTTTTTTGATTTCAGATAAAAATTGACGGAGATATTTTGCAAGCACACAAGTTTTTAGGAGGTCAAGTTCAAGCCTGCCTCAACGGCTCAATTTTAAAAATTTTTGGTTCAAATTTTTACACAATGTTGGTCAAACCTTAAACATTAATGTACAATAAATAAAATTTGTGAAATTTTACGACAATTTTAAATCTTTTAAATCTTTTAAAAAAATTCACGAAAATAGGATTTTTTTCGTGCTTCAATACCCGGATAACCCCTTAAACCAATGTTTGCTTATCGATTATCTGCCTTTGTCCCGGCAGTCCGTTTTTGCATCTGGCCAGATCAGTTCAATATATGTGAACAGTGAAATAAAAATCGATATTAAGGAAAAGTTGTAATTAAGTGAATAAAAAATAAAAATTATATTTTTTTTTAAATTCACAAGCGATATAAGTAATTGGCGCCCAACGTGGGGCCGCGCTTAATTTGTTCTAACAAAAGCTTTAAAATAAATAACTAACAGTTTTAATGTATAGAGAAACTTGCGCGGTCAAATAAAAACCTAATCAACCGATGAAAAAGTTCGCGTTGAAAACAAAAGCGGAAATTAATTAATGCAATAATCCCCTTGGCTTACAACAATCCGCTTATTAATAATCGATATATTAACCCCGTTGTTCAATAAAAAAAAAACGTACTCAAAAAAGTAGTTCAACAAAAAATTTAAAACAAAATCTAAAGTGAAAGATAAAAACTGAACCAAATTTATACAAATTCAAATACAAATTAATACAAATTCAACAAGAAGGAAGAGCTGAGGGGCATCCCCCGCTAAGAAGTTACAACCATAAAATAATTCGAAGGAAGAGCTGAGGGCAATCCCTCGCTACACACATATCAAAAACTACCGAGAAGGACGACCCCAAGCAGGATCATCAAAAGAATTAAAGAAGACATACCGTCAAATTGAAGAAGAAAGAAGACAATTAGTGATTACTGTTTATTTTTTAAGAACTTTAATAAAATTAAATAAAATCAAACATGGTGGGAGACTTAATTAACGATTTTGAAAGAATTCTAACCATGTCTCAACCTCAACCTGGAACGGCTTCTTGCAGCCAAGCTAACCATTACATATAATGTGAGCGATTTAATTACACATATTGTCAATAATGAGTTGAGTCCTTTAAAGGAAGAAATCGTGAATCTAAAAGCGCAACTAAACCATAATAAAAAAAGATAAATAAATGTGAAACATGATTTGAAATAATCAAATCAGTCAGGAAATTTAAAGGTGAGGAAGACAAATTTGTTAGTTGGATGGAGTCAGCGAAACTAACTCTTCTAATAAATAAAACCATTATGACTTATGGTAGAAATAAGCCATTAACTGCTGAAATGAATGAAAAACACAAAAATACAGAATTAAGAGAATAAAAAGCCAGAGGCACATATAAATCGGCGAAATCACCCAAAGAACAAAAGAGAACCAACAGGTACGTTTACGGCTAATAAGACTATGCGATTAAATAATATCGAAGAAGACCATTTTTTAGGCCAGAATCCGGAGTAGGCTTACCCTACTTAATACGATACGATAGTAAGCTAAATAAAAAACTCAATTTTAATTGACACATGAGCAATCTCCTGCTATATCAGAAAAGGGATTTATAAAAACAAAAATCAACTTCCAATATATAAAAGAATATTTACGGTAAATGTGAAAAAAAACATTCTTCTATTAAAGGAATTTATAATACGAAAATTCTTTGATGAAAAGGCCCAAATCACAACTGAG